TATATAATACCTTCTTTTGCTCTCCGAAAGTATTTGTTTCAGATAAGTGTCAAGTCCTTCAAAAAGCGGCAAATATAGTTTTTCCAGAAGCAAAAAAAATGCTCTGTATTTGGCATATGCTTGCACAAATCTAAGAACTGCTTGTAGAAAATTTTTTGATTCTGAAGATGATTATATCAAATTATTGCTATTGATTTAAAAAGTAGATTATGCAAAGGAGATGAGTATAGCTGAAAAAGCATTTGATGAGGTAAAAGAAGCAGTGACGAAAAGTAGAAATCCTAATTACATTCAGGCTTACTTTAAGGAATGAAAAAAAGACACAGAATGTTGGATAAATATTTTCACAAAAAATTATCTGCATATGGGAGTTCAATCAACTCAAAGAGCAGAAGGAAGTCATGCCTGTTTGAAAAAGGCAATAGAGGCAGCAAGTGGGCTTGATCAAGTATTTTTATATATTGACTGTACATTTTGCCAACATCAACAACAAAAAAATAAAACTTTCAGTTTAAATATTGTTTCTGCTGACCCATTTATACACAATAATGAGAGGTTTACACAGCTTGTTAGAAAAATTTCTAAATAGGTGATTGATCAAATAAAAAGAGAAATATGTGAGCCTGAAGAAAACTGTGATAATACGAATAATGATTTTTGTGAATATAGTTTGAAGTTTAATTTTAAATTATCATGCTGCCACATAATTCCACCTACAGGCCCCATTCTGCTTTCTATTATACATCTACATTGGCTTTTAAAACATGATTCACTACCTCAGTTGTCATTATCTTTGTTAACTGATACAGCAATTAATAAGGCTCTATATATGCTTGAAGAGAAATATGAAAAACTAAATGATGGTGGATCAAAGGCCACATTTTTGAGTAAAATTGAAGCACTAATCATTGAAGAAATTGTGACACCAAAAGCACTGTTATGCATCAAAAATAAAGGTCGGTCAGCTTTCCTTAAGCGAGATCTTTTTCTTAGCGAATGCCAAGATAAAGATGCTAAAAAAAAGAAAAAAGCTATCCAAACTCAAAATCAATCAAGATAACACTGCTAAAAAAAAAGAAAAAAATGCACCTATAATGAATTTGCAAGTATCAAATCAACTTTTATTTTATAATCAGTTACCAATTTATATGCATGAACATATAAAAAAGGTAATTAATGTGGATGGAGACGGTAATTGTGGGTACAAAGCATTGGCCGTATGTTTAGGAAAAAGTGAAAGTGAATGGTCAGAGATACGAAAGGAATTGTGAAAAGAATTGGTTGAAAAAGAACAATTTTACCAAACCTTATTTTTAGCCAATGATGATTATAAAACAATTATGAAAGAAATCTTTTGGACAGATGGCCCTTGCACCTTTAAACACTGAATGAGAATGCTACATGATAACTGTATCTATTCTGATTATAATAAAACTTTAATGCTTAATGTTAGGCTAAAATTAATATTAGAATCTTATATCAGACAATAGTAATAAAAAAATAGTATAGTGGTAAATTACTAAAGAAACAAAATTTTTATATGCACTGTTAATGCCACGTGATTATGCACTCTGATGTATCACATGATCTGCACTGACCAATATATCACGTGATCTGCACTGTTCGTATCATGTGATCTGTACTGTCCATAAGCTCGAGAGGAGACAGTTATCGGTTACACAAATTGCAGATCATTCACGAAAATCTCTGAGAAGTGGATAGCCAATCAAAAATCGT